CATACATTGTAAAGTCCACTTTATAACGCTATTATTTTTGTTCTAAACAGTTACCTTTTAAGGAAATTATAAGGCAAAAATAGATCTCTTATATGCCCCATTTATTTGCCATTCCTGGCATTCCTTTTCTTCTCCTTTCTGTAGTTTTAGGTTTCTATTTGGTATCATTCCCCAGAAGCCTAAAAAATGGCTTTCAGCATTTTTAGTTTTGCTGGCCTGATGGATCTGCGTTCTCTCCACTTCCATTTACCTGAAATAAAATGTCTTTATTTCAGCCCACTTCTAAATAAATATTTATTCTGGATATAAAATTCTCAGTTGACAGATTCCCTCCCTTCCCCCATTAGAACTTTAAAGACATGTTCATTGTCTTCTGGCCTCCATTATTTCTGATAAGTCAGCAAACATTCTTATTGTCATTCACTTGTATATGTCTTTTTTTCCTCCAACTGCTTTAAAGATTTCCTTTTTTGGCTTTTTCGCAACGAGTTTGCCGCCGGAGCACAGGTGTCGTGAAAGCCACCCCTAAAGGTCAAAATGGGAAAGGAAAAGATGCACATCAATATCGTCGTCATCAGACACGTCGATTCCAGCAAGTCCACCACCACCGACCACCTGATCTACAAATGTGGCGGCATTGACAAAAGAACCATCGAGAAATTCGAGAAGGAGGCTGCTGAGATGGGAAAGGGCTCCTTCAAGAATGCTTGGGTTTTGGATAAGCTGAAAGCTGAGCGTGAACGTGGCATCACCATCGATATCTCCCTGTGGAAATTTGAGACCAGCAAGTACTACATCACTATCATCGATGCTCCAGGACACAGAGACTTCATCAAAAACATGATTACAGGCACATCTCAGGCTGACTGTGCTGTCCTCATTGTTGCTGCTGGTGTTGGTGAATTTGAAGCTGGTATTTCCAAGAACAGGCAGACCCGTGAGCATGCCATCCTGGCTTACACACTGGGTGTGAAGCAACTAATTGTTGGCGTTAACAAAACGGATTCCACTGAGCCACCCTACAGCCAGAAGAGATACGAAGAAATTGTTAAGGAAGTCAGCACTTACATTAAGAAAAATTGGCTACAATCCTGACACAGTAGCATTTGTGCCAATTTCTGGTTGGAATGGTGACAACATGCTGGAGCCAAGTGCTAACATGCCTTGGTTCAAGGGATGGAAAGTCACCCATAAAGATGGTAACGCCAGTGGAACCACACTGCTTGAAGCACTGGACTGCATCCTGCCACCAACTCATCCAACTGACAAGCCCCTGCGTCTGCCTCTCCAGGATGTCTACAAGATTGGTGGTATTGGGACTGTCCCTGTGGGCCGAGTGGAGACTGGTGTCCTCAAACCTGGCATGGTGGTCCCCTTTGCTCCAGTCAACATTAAAGCTGAAGTGAAGTCTGTTGAAATGCACCATGAAGCTTTGAGTGAAAGCCCTTCCTGGGGATAACGTGGGCTTCAATGTCAAGAATGTGTCTGTCAAAGATGTTCGCCGTGGCAATGTTGCTGGTGATAGCAAAAATGATCCACCAATGGAAGCAGCTGGCTTCACCGCTCAGGTCATTATCCTGAACCATCCAGGCCAAATCAGTGCTGGCTATGTTCCTGTACTGGATTGTCACACGGCTCACATTGCATGCAAGTTTGCTGAGCTGAAGGAAAAGATTGATCGCCGTTCTGGTAAGAAGCTGGAAGATAGCCCTAAATTCTTGAAGTCTAGTGATACTGCCATCGTTGATATGGTTCCTGGCAAGCCCATGTGTGTGGAGAGTTTCTCTGACTATCCTCCTCTGGGTCATTTTGCCGTCCATGATATGAGGCAGACAGTTGCTGTGGGTGTCATCAAAGCAGTGGACAAGAAGGCTGCCGGAGCTGGCAAGGTCACCAAGTCTGCCCAGAAAGCTCAGAAGGCTAAATGAATATTATCCCCAATACCTGCCACCCCAGTCTTAATCAGTGGTGGAAGAACAGTCTCAGAACTGTTTGTTTCAATTGGCCATTTAAGTTTAATAGTAAAAGACTGGTTAATGATAACAATGCATCGGAAAACTTTCAGAAGGAAAGGAGAATGTTTTGTGGACCATTTTGGGGTGTTTTTGGGGTTTTGTGTGTGTGTGTGTGTGTGTGGCAGTTTTAAGTTATTAGTTTTTGAAATCAATACTTTTTAATGGAAACAACTTGACCAAAAATCTGTCACAGAATTTTGAGACCCATTAAAACAAAGTTTAATGAGAAAAAAAAAAAATTTCCTTTTTTGTTGTTGTTTTCAGAAGTCTGACAATGTGCCTAGACAAGGCTTTCGTGGTAGTTATCTTCCACCGAGTTCACTAATTTTATTGAATTAGTAACTCAATGCTTTTTCATCATGTGTGGCAAAACTTGGCAATATTTAAATAGATTTTTTTCTGTTCCATTCTTTCTTCTCTTTTCAGGACTCCCATAACACATATTGGACCATATTTCTCTGACGAGCGTCCCAATCTGTTCATATAAACCATTTTCTTTCAATTCTATAAACATGTATTGTCTGTTAGCTGCTTCAAAGTCTTTGCTAATTCCAACGCTTGGATCATATCACACTCTGTTTCAATTAATTATTACATTTTTAATCAACTATGGTCTTGAATATTTGCTTATCTTGTAATTGTTCACTTGTGTACTAGACATTGTTAGTGATTTCTTATAGAGACTCTGAATTCTGTTATCTTCTCTCTGAAGTATGTTGATTAATGTTCTAGTAGGCAGTCCAGTTACTGGCCAGTCACCATTAAGTTGGGTGGTTTGGTATTATACTTTGTTATGGAGGGTATATAGAAGCCTAAGATGTTTCCCAAGCACCCCTAGCATATGTCTCCCCTGAAAATCAGGACTTGGTTTTAGAGTTTGTTAGAGTGGGTGCAGAGCAGTGGTCTTCAACTAGAAATGATTTTTCTCCCCAGATGACATTTGGCAATATTTGAAGACATTTGGGGTTGATACCCAACCCAAAAGTGGGATGGGAGGCACTACAGGAATCTAATAGGTAGAGGCCATGCTAAACATGCTATAACACATGACAGCTCCACACCACAAAGTATCTGGCTCACAACATCAATAGTGCCAAGTTTGAAAAATGCTGGTAGGCCTTATTCTAGGGCATGGTTCTTAGACCTAACTGGGGAAATTAACAAGGTGTTAATGAGTCCTCTACTCTGTCTAAAGTGGACCTCCAATAACTTTCAGCACCACTGGATGTATAGTAGCACTGATAAGTTGCTTTCTGATGAGCCTCATGTAGTCTTGCTCTGCAGATGCATTACTTGAGGTGAGAATTTGTGGTATCACATTGCAAAGGAAAAAGTGGAGCAATAAGAATTTTTACAATATCAGCATTTCTGCTTTTAGTGTTAATAATTTTTAGTTTGCATCATTTTCTTACCTTCTTTATTTTTTTTTGAGCACTGAACTTAATAAATATGGAACTTTTGAAAACATACTATCAGTATATTTTTATTTTGATGTGTATTTGGTGATATTTATGAGTAATTTTGTTGACTATCAGATTCTTAAATTCAATAGTAGCTTAATATGAAGATACAAAGAGCTATGCTTATACATACTGGATGTGTGCCTGAAACATGACTTATCTGATAAAGAATTAATGTATACATATGGGTGTGAATATTGCTTTTGACATGGAAACCTGACCTTTGCATTGTATTTCACTAACCTCTTTCTTTATATTTTTACCCACACTATTGACTTCTCCAACTAAGGGAGTTTAAAGATAGTACATGTAATCAAAAAGCCAATGCATAAGTAATAAATAAAGTAAAACACTGAAGACAAAAAATATACAACCTTCCCAAAGGAGTTTTATGACAAGTTACTGTGGTTTACACCACCTACCTGAATCAGAGTCACACAGGCATATTTTGTCTCCATCTCTACAGACCTGCTCTATTCCCACTGTCTTCTCTCCCATAATGTCAGTCTTTCTTCCCTCCCAACACAAAATCCAGGACTCAACTCTGATGTGAGCATGAAAGGATATTACTTTCATCCATGCACTGCCTTTCTAACCCATAAACTGAGTTCTTTCCCTCTCTCTTCATTTTCACAACGTAATACACAATTTAAACAAAACGATTATCATCACACTAGAAATGACATTTCCTCACTTTGGCACCTACTATCCTGCCTAGTAAAACATAACTGCTCTGGAGTATTAGAAAATCAAGACATTCTGATGTGAGTAAGTAGAGATAGCAAAATAAATGGTCTAATAGTTGACAAAAACAACATGATGGTTAGTTATGTCTAAATACTGATTTATTTATTGCATTAATTCAACTTTTAGGCCTTTACCATGATGTGTTTTTCTTTTTCTGAGCAGACCTCAGAGATACATATTCATTTGACTTTCCATGAATATTATTGTTGCCTTTTATTCTTATTTGTGTATCAAGAAAGACAAGGTCAATTAAGCTGCTTTGTTCACTACAAAACAAAAGTACTCAGTTTCAACATAATGATTAGAATAATAGCTAAGCTTACTAAGGCTAGAAATGTAGATGGAAATTTAGATATTCACAGCCCACACTCAATAAAAGACAGAATTCATTATGTCAAAAATATACAAAAATATAAGAAGAATAACATTTGAAACCCAGTAAGCATATAGCAGAACCATTTTGCAAAGAGAAATAAATACTCTTAGTGTTTACCACTTTCATGCTTTTACCTGGCAGTTGGCTGGCTGTTATAAGCTACTTTACTGACCAGAATTGATAAGTCATTTTTTAGGCTGTCACTCATTATAACCATAAAATTGTACACATTCAAATGAAGCATGAGTTCATCATTTTTATGTTATGAAAATATGGCACCCTGAGACAAAATATCTTGAACACCTAACTTCTGCTTATTTTACCCTTTCTAATTATCACATGATGTTTTGATTTTAAATTTAAAAATGCATCCATTTTCACAAAAAAAAATTACCAAACGAGTACTTGGTTTTAGGGTTCATATTTATTTTCCAATTATATTTATTGATCTTACAGGCAGAATAGTTTCTTGATCTCTCTAGTGCATTCAACAACACCAAAAATCTACAACTTTGGTGTCAACAACAATAATTATTAACAACTGAGCAAGCAATTTACAACTCTCTGCAATTAAGAAAAATGGATTCAAAAGGCAAATAACAAGAAGTATTTATGTGTGTTAAGACATAATAGCCAACATAACGTTAGTACCAAAGGCATTGTTCTCATTGTGACATTTATACACATTTTGGAAATTGAGGAGCACATTGGCCAGTCACCAATGATCGTGAAAAAGAAAATACATAAGCGTGCCCATTTAGCTAATAGTGTGTGTTCAACTCTTTAACTTGACATTATGTTGTACTGTTATCCCTTTCAAAGCATTAGAAATCAGTTATTACCATTGCCTCAAGCTTTTTTTTACAGATAAATAATCTGATGAAGATGCCCTTATTTCAGAAACGAAGGTCATTAATGTTTACCTTTGCTTGAAACATTTCAGAAGGCTTGCTAAACTGAAAAAACGCCCAATCTCAGACTACTGGATGAACAGCGACATCTAGTGGTCATTATAATCCCTGAACAAACTTTTTTTTGTTGTTGTTGTTTTGTTTTTTTGTGACTTTAATTTTTATTTAATTATTTTCATGGTGATTTACATTTAGGTTTTTCTATTACAAAGAATGCTACAGTGAACATCCTTACATGTGCTTGAGTATTTCTGTAGTACTATGGAATCTTTTATACTTTTATGCATTTAGATCTTTAATCCATCTGGAAATTATTTTGTTGTAAGATGTGAAGTTTCTTAACTTTAAAGCATCAACGCGAGAGTATTCATGAAACAACTGAAATGGCTACCATGCATCACCTTTAAAATTGACAAACGCGTATTTCCAATGAAAACATGTAGGAAAATTATAAACCTTTCTAGTAGATTCCCCCTGATTCTATAATAATATAAATAGAAGGAAAACCTAACCCTCATCTTTATTCTTAATCAACAACTCTTTCACAGGTAAATATCCTTTGCAGATCTTTATAAAAATCCAGTTTTTATTTCTTCATCTCTCAGTTCTTGTTTCTAACAGAGTTACATAAAAATTCTAAAATGCCATGAACCATGAATAACCAATTCTGGAATGTTCCAGCAACAAACAGATTCAGACATTCTATACGATGACACTCTGATATGCAAATTTAAGACATTATAAAAGTTGCCACACTATTCATTCCTGTTGAATTGAGCTTACTCTGGAGGTGTTATTGGGTTTTTTTGTAAACATGGCACCTCCAATTCAAGATTTTCTAGTACAAGTGGATCATGAAATGGAATAATAGAATCAAAATGGAATCACAAAACTGTTTTACCATCCAAAAGCCATTGCTTCCCAGGTATGATTGTTTCCTATTAATGAAAAAGCCAAGACATTTTCTCAGCTGTTTCTCACAGCCCATCTAAGACAGTCCAAGCAAGCTTCTGTTGCCCACTGGAAATTCAGCTCATCATCTCTGTATACTCCAACCCACCAGACACCTGAAACTGCTTCCAAGGATTTTACAGCCAGCTCCAGAGAAACTGCCTTCCTGTCACCATGAAAGACCTTTTCTGAGCGCAAAACATATGTCGTAGTTAGTCCCGTGGTCGTGCATGGGACACACAGATTGGCCCTTCCAGATGAACTGAAGTACCTTCCAAAATGCCCAGACACACATGAATGCAGATGGGCATCACTAGCCATTTACTGCATCTCCCCAAAATGAATTGCCAAGGGCTAAGACTAAACCTTCCTCTTTAACAAGGCTTTGTGGATGATCATAAACAGATGCGAGGTCTGAATAATAATTTTTGTGTTAACACACCAGCTTCCTCAAATGAAGAATGAGCATATTTGGTACTCCAAGACCTTCAAAATATCTACTACCCAGCCATATGACATGCCAGGGATTACCTTGGACATTTACCCAAATGCCACTCAAGCCCCCCTCTAATGACTGGACACAATGGTCCACAGGAGTGATATCTCATAGGCATCATCAAATTGGGGACCACCTGGAATGGCAAGGAACTTCTTAATATTACTTAAGGCTTCCATGTAAATGCTAGACAGACAGACAGTCAGTGGGCATCTTATTCCCAAGTGTATAAGCACTTAACCTTACCAAAGCAATGAGTGTGATGCATAAGCATTTAAAATGAATGCTGAAGTCAAATGCAGTGCTGTGAGTGTAAAGCCCAGGGGTCTCTCCAGCCCACTATCCCCACGGATTCCCTAGTTCTCTCCTCCTGAGAGTTCTCAGTTACTGAAGTGTGTGTGGGCAGTGGTCACAAGTGGTTAAATGTGATGTTTGCCAAGGGGAATGGCAACGAGGAGTGACACTGGAGGCACCCGAAGGTTACTTTCTACTGCTCTACCTTATACAGACTATTTTCTCCTATTTTTCCTTCTCCCTTTTCCATCTGCCTCCCTTATTTCTGCCTGAAGCTGGCAGTGTAGGATGAAGTAATTCTGTGCTCTGTTGCTGTCTGAACCCCTGTGTTGGACAACAAAGATGACTGGTGAATTCCAGGGGGGAAATCTTGCTAACTACTCAATAAGATAGTCTCAGATGAATAGCTACGGGCAATCATGGGGTCTAGCTGAAGGCTTGGATGAGTCATCACACACCAGATACCCACAAACCTAGAAATAATTCGGTCTGGGTCTAAATGCTAATATCATGTTACCAAGTCTCTTTCTGAAAAGCATAAAAGCAAAATATCCCACTCCTGCAAGCACACCAACCACAAGGGTGGTGCCAAGAACTTTTGGGGCCCTTTTCTTGGCCACCCGGAATGCTGTTGGCAGCACTGCAGAGATTAATATATTGTTGACATGTCCCAAAACCTTGTTAAATGTTTTCCTCTTCAAGACACGCTCGTAATAGGTTTCCAAGTTTGGTCGCTTTCCATTTCCCCAGTTTCTCCTCGCAAACCCCAGAAACTTCAGTCGATGCAGCGTGACAGCAAGGGAGATGTCTGCCAGGGTGAAGGATTCTCCACAGAGCCAAGGCTGGCGGCCCTCTTCTAATCAGAGAAAGGGACATGGAGAATTAGGGACAAGCACTGTACAGACAGATCCTAGCAGGTACCAGGGGTCTCAGCCCTAAGGACAAGTGTGAGTACAGAAAAAGATGAAGACCATGGTACATTTCCTTGACAATCACCACTCAGTGAATAATTTTATGCTTTTTAAAAAAAAGTCCATGCAGATGTAACTCAAGTTAAAGGATACTTGCCTGATGTCTGTCAGCCACCCAAGTCCCTACATGAAACTTGAGCTCAAGCTTGAGCTGTCTATCATTTTGTAAAGGACTCAGAGGAGTTGAGAGCCTCCAAGTCAGAAGCGTTAAAAGATAATTCCTGGTTTAGGAAAACAACAGGTGTGCTTTAGGAAAATCCATAAAGATGAGTCTGAGATGTCACTCAGTGGCTACTGATCTTAGTTACTCATTTAAAACAGAAGAACTTTTGTGAAGCAAGTTTCAGGTAACACGGTCTCCAATTTTTGTCAGTTAGAATAGTGCAAATGGTCCACGTGTCTACACTTGGGTAGTGGCTTAACCCTGAAGTAATTCACAGGTACAATACATGTACTCACCAGCCAGTCCCCAGACACATGCTGGTCCTTATTTTATACTTTTGATTAGAAGTTGTCTCCCTGTCTAAGGAATAAAACTAGAGGGAACATCTAAGCAATTACTCAAGTTATTCAACCAAACTAACTACTTAATGACAAATTTGTAAAACAGGTTAGGTAAGAATCTCCCAACCATGATTCAAATTGTGCAGAAAATCTTTCATATAGAAGCAGACTGAGTTACAATTAGACACCTGGGTTTTTCTGAGTTCATTATCACTGCTGCTATCATAATCCAAACTACCCAGGAATAACAACAATAAAAAGCAGATTGCCGAACATTTTTGGTGAGCTCTAAGAATGTTTCTCATAAATACTCCTGGTGTTAAAAAGAGAAAAAGAATACAAATGCAAAACTACCTGGGGTTTCTTCATTTCTTCTTTGCAATTCAGTTTCAACCTGATCCAAGACCTTCTCCAATTCATCAAGAATTTTCTTCAAATATTTGACATTGTCATGATCAAGCAGCTTTGACTAATTAACAGAAACAAAAACTAAATGAGTTATTATGCTTATAAAAAGAAAAAATCTAGAGCAAAAAAAAATTTTTTTGTAAAAGAAGAAACCTTCACAAACTCTTATAAAGGTGGAGCCCGTTTATTTCAGACAATGGGAAGAAACAGAACAACTCAGTTGCCCCAGGAGCACACCCACCGCTCGCTAGCAGCAGCCACTGTGAAGCCAGATGAACAGAGAGTGCAAAGAAAGGGAGGGACACGAAGATCCATCCATCACACACAACTCAAGTTGGGAATCTCAGCAGCCCTAAATGAATGAGTACCTGAAGGATCCAAGGCAAAGTGGAAGTCTGAATGCAATGAGTTAACGGGTGAGTGAGTTAAAGGGTCAGGAAAGTAACTGTGTGTTCAGGTGTTTCTTTAGAGGCGTTTGTGAAGCTAAAATTGGACACAGGAAAGTGGGAAGTCTAGGGAGGGTTGGGAGTGCTGCTGTCTACTGCATGCTTCATATGGGACACTTGCATATGGTGTTGGGCCATGGGGAAGGACTTGATAGAGAGAGAAAGCCTGGCCCTCACTGATGCTCTGTGTGGGCGGAGCAAGCCAGGGCAACATGTGGAGGGACACAGGTCTAAAAAGGCCTTGAAGTGATGGAATCCCTGAAATGACAGATTCCTGGAACATTTTGTTAACCTGCTTTGACATTTTATAACTCTCCTTGGCAACAAGCATATTCAATATCTGCTTTTGAAGCACTTGTCGTCACGTTTGAATGTCCAATCTGATCAAGAAAATTCGTTCTGAAAGCAGAACATAAGCCAAAGATAACATGTGTACTGGTGAATTGCAACATTTAAAGGAAGATGTTCTAGAAATAGTGGTACTTTACAAAAAGTAGAACATTTAATACCCACAGTGCATGTCAACTGAAGATGGCTGATCCACTTACTTTGAGTCGCTTCTGTTTTGCAAGGTATGCCTCTTGTAAATCCGGGTTTTCCTCAGCAAGTTTCTTCAGTTCAGACTCTGTGTTACCAATTTGGCCTGAAAATAAAACATTTTTGAAACAGAAAATCATTTATTCCCTTTCACACCAGAAACAAGAAGGAGCAGAAAAATTTGACAGCAAGAGCATGAACTCTGGGACCCACGCCCTGCCTCTGCCTCAGACTTCCCCTAGCTAGCCTCAGTTTCCTCACCTTTCTTTTATTTTTGAGTTAGAGTCTCACTCCGTCCCCAGACTGGAGTGCAGTGGCCGCTCCCGGCCACCGCAGCCTCGACCTGCTGGGCTCTGGCGATCCTTCCGCCTCAGCCTTCCAAGTAGCTGGAACTACAGGCACGTGCTACCACGCCCGGCTAATTTTTGATTTATTGTAGAGATGAGGTCTCGCCAAGTTGCCCAGGCAGGTCTCGAACCCGCGGGTTCAGGCAATCCACTCACCTCAGCCTCCCAAGGCGCAGGATTACAGGCTGAGCCACTGAGCCCGGCTCTCCTCACCTTTCAAATGGAACTATAAACGTATCTGCCACAAAGGGTGAGTACTAAATGAGAACCTCCATGAGGAGCACTTAGGGAGGTGAGAGGAGAAAAAGGGAGGAGAGATAGGGAAGAAGGGGAAGGGAGATGAAAGAAAGGAGGTTAGAGGAAGGAGGGGATAGAAGAGGAGAGGACAGAGGGGGTTTCCAACAGGAAGAAAAATAACATGAACGAGAGAGTGATAACGGTGAATCTGATGCCATGGGGGAAACATGGTTTCTGGATTTAGAAAACTTGAGGGTGAAACAGCCCCCAAATGTGACCACTGCCAACTCTCCTTCCTGTCCCCAATTGCCTGTGCCATAAGGTACACCTCTTTCTGCTCCATATCCCATGCCCTGACTCTATCCTCATGACAGGAAGAAGGAAGAAAGCCGGATGTCACAACTCTATCTCAATAAATTTCCTGTTACTGAACATCGAGGTAGAGTCATGGTTAGACACCCTCTAGCCCAGCTCACATAATGAAACAATTAAGGACCAGAAACATGAACTCAGCTGCCCATAACCCCAGGCAGATCCCAGCTTTTCAGATTTCAAGTCCATCTGCTCATGAGAACATGTTAGGTTCTTTTCCTCAAACCCCTCTGAGTTTTGCCCATGCTTGGTGCTCAACACCAAGAGCTGACAAATCAGGTCCTAAAGACAATAACACCCAGCTGGGCAGCTGAAACACTGATTAACCTGACTGGATCAATCAGTGTGCAATGAACATGCACATCCAGGAAGCAAACTCAGCAACGCTATTCCCAATCTTTCATCAATGGCCCTGAGACACGCTATGTCTCAAATGAACTAAAAGAAACTTCAGATAAAATTCCAAGTTGTTAAGATGTTTACATACTGCGAATCCTTGTGGTTGCATAAGCTGGGATCATAGAGTCCACAGTTAGCTCAGGATGTAAGATGCAGCCATGCGTGTAGGCATCCATTGGCAAGGAGTCAAGCAGCTCTCGGTAGTGTTGCACCCGAGGGTAATACATGCTTCCTTTATCAGGCATTAGCCTGGGTGTTCTTTCTAAAACACATACACAAATATTGAAGAAAAGTTACAAATGAACTGCCACATTCAAAGGCAAAAGCCCTAACCCCCTCATCATTAGCATCTTCAACATTCCAGTACATTCAAAACATGATGTCTCCTCAGCCCAGACATTCAAAATTTGGAATGGCCTAATGTACCAGACCAGATCACAAACCATAATAACACTGGTATTCTCTCACTTTTCCACCTTGAAAACTCAAGATCTAATTATTTATGCCATTTCTTACACGAAGCATTCCCTGACCTCCTACAACTGCCAACATCTGACTGGCCCAGGCATGTCTTCCTCTATACACCCATAATACATTGCACATTCTCTATTATAGCCCTTATCACACTGTAATTAATTGTTTGTACCTTTTTGCCCACAAATGTCTTCAGGGAAGGAAACCTATAATCCGAGCCCTAGTACAGTTCCTCACACATTTTAGGCCCTCAGTAAAGGCTGGAATAAAGTATGGGTTCCACATAAATCTTCATTTGCTGGTTTAAATCTAGACTGTAGAGTCCTAGAGAGCAGGGATCATGTATCACTCTCTGTTAAATCCCCAGTGCCTAATACAATGTTTGACATAGTAGGTGTTTAACAGATAATAATTAATGAATATACTCCCAAATTTCCAGTTAGTTTAGAATACGTAAGCTGAGAAGCTCTGCAATAGTTGAGAATACTGAGATATAGGGGCTGAGAAGTTCTCCCAAGAGCCCACAGCTAATTGAAGGCAGAACAAGAATTAAAATAATCGGATTCTTAATGCAATGCTCTGTCTTATTATACGCCATCATGACATCTTCAAAGGGTTTACATTTCAAAGACTAACCAAAAAGAATAAAAGCAAATGATATTACACAAAGTCCAGGGCTATGTCTCTTCAGAATCATATCCAATCTCTGACTCTCAAACTACCCCTGAAAAATGCCAGCTAGTTCATTCCAACTAGTGAAAAGAACAGCCTCAACTTTATTCATCAGTTTCTTACCCTGGGTTATTTAAGCTACAATTCTTTTGAGCATCCCACATTTGTTCATAAACGTTGACAATTCAGAGTTGGTTGCCATCAACTAAGCATTTCAAGCAAGAACAAACTTTTTAAGCCAACAGGCTATTTCTGACTCTCTAGGAAAAAAGAAGATGGATTACTCCTCAAACCAGTAGGCAAATGTCTAATTTCCTGCTGGAGAGTTCAATTCTGAAGGCTGTATTAGCATAACCAAGAGTGAAGCATCAGTTGCATACTGCTCCTCAATAGAAAACTTACTTAGCTAGAGCACACTTCATCACTGACCCCATATGGGAAGGAGGCAGGTAAGTCAGCTCTGGCAAACAGCCTCTAAACACCTCAAATCTAACAGCACCTCAGATCCGCTTTTCAAGACCCCAACAGTATCACCAAGACACCAACCAATGCATGGTAGACATTTCCATAAGGACACTAGACTGGAAGCCTTGAAATTCTAGAAACCTCTAGAACCTTTCATATGCCACTTGACCTCTTCTCAAAATCATCATGTTCTTAAACGCATAAAATACAAGACATAGGACTGCAATTTGTATTAAGATATCTGTAATAACTTAACATGCTCTGACCATATCTGTAATTGCCATTGGTAACAAAGTCACAGTCACTCCTGATATTGCCATGGGTTAGCCTACACTGGTAATGCAAGAAAATGATACATTTCTGTTAGAAAGTAGTGAAAATAAAGATGCAATAATTACTCCCCATCCAAGATCTCAACTCTCCTAAATTTCTATTCATAGACTCGTAAGGGCAACAGTTCTCAAAGTGTAATCTAAGGATCCCTGGGATTCCTCAAGATATTTTCAGGGGATTTACAGAGTCAAGGCTATTTTTACAGAAATACTAAGATGTTAATTGCTTTTTCATTCTTATTCTCTCTCAAGTGTACAGAATTTTTTCCAGAGGCTAGAGGAAACATGATGACTCCAACATGATGACAGTTAATAAGATGTATGTTTGAATATTCGGATGTTTTAAATTTTTCTCAGTTTGACTTTCTAAATAAAAAATAGCTATGACCCATATAAACAAAAGTTCTCAGTCATTTTTCAAGACAAAGGGGTCCTAAGACCAAAAAGTTTCAAAACCACTGCTTTCAGGGCCCCAGAACCTCAGGCCTCATAAATGGCACATTTTCAAATGCTTCCCAATGGTCAAATTTATGGCTACTGGCTCTGGCTACTTTCTGGTGCCAGGCCCTGTGGCTCCTCTCCAGAAGAGTATACCATTTCCTTTCTAGGAAAGTGACTGAGAGCAGGAAAAACAATGTCTAATTGTTTTCTGGGGAAGTTCCAACTGGCCAAGCCTGAATTCTTCAAAGGAGGACAAATGTTTAAATCCATGAAAATAATTTTCTTCTACTGTGTGCCATTACTATTTCCTGCAGCACTTTGTCAGATACAAAATAAGGTGCCCACTGAACCCAATTATCTTCCCATCGAACTTTCTCTCCTTGCATGTATCGAGGCTGTCCTGTCCAGTATCACACAAACACTGCGCCGCCATCTTCCTCCTCACACCAGGGCACAACAGTGTTTATCAAAAGACAAATTAGAATTTACTTTGAATTATACAAGAGAATTTCCCTCTTAATTACATCCTATTTTCCAGTCCTTTCATAGAGCATCTTTATCATAACACTAAAAAGAATATTTCCTCAGACATCTACCTCAATCAGGAGTGGAAAAGCAATATAAGGAATATAAGGCCAGGATAGGGAATCAGGGAGTTTTGAGAAACAAGCAATGAGAGAAGGCCCCAGTACTGGGGAGTAGGGTTGCAGTAGTGGAAGCCAGACTTGGTGACTAAGCAGGAAGAATAAATAAGTGGGCATAAGACCTGACTTCCTAGAAAAGCAATGGCAGATAAAGGAGGTATTATTATGCCTTCTTTTCAAGAACAACTCCTCCAGGTGGATTTGTGTAACTTACAGTTATCCCATATTAGCTTAATGAAAACACGTTAGACTTCATTTCTCACTATAGCCATTTGCTGTTTATTTTATTTCTATTGCACAGGGATGGCATTAGTATGTAAGATATTAAGTATAATATAGCTGAACAACATTGTACCCTTCAACTGGTCATACACTAGGTCATTTAAAAATACAATATAGCCGGGCTCGGTGGCTCAGCCTGTAATCCCGCGCCTTTGGGAGGCTGAGGTGAGTGAATTGCCTGAGCCCGCGGGTTCGAGACCCGCCTGGGCAGCAAGACCTCATCTCTACAATAAATCAAAAAA